TCCGTAGGGTCTTTCCGATAAGTCCGTAGGGTCTTTCCGATAAGTCCGTAGGGTCTTTCCGATTTGTCCGTACGGTCTCTCTAAAAAACCTTACTACTTTTCGGAAAAAACCTTACTACTTTTAGTAAAGTTACTCTGAAAGTGGGGTTTTTTCCGGTAAGTAGTGAGGTTTTTTCCGAAAACTAGTGACGTTTTTTAGAGAGACCCTACGGACTTATCGGAAAGACCCTACGGACTTATTGGGAAGACCCTACGGACTTATCGAAAAAAACCTCACTACTTTTCGAAAAAACCCCACTTTCGGAGTAACTTTACTAAAAGTATTGAGGTTTTTTCCGAAAACTAGTGACGTTTTTTAGAGAGATCCTACGGACTTATCGGAAAGACCCTACGGACTTATCGGAAAGACCCTACGGACTTTTTGGAAAGACCCTACGGACTGATCGGAAAAAACCTTACTACTTTTAGTAAAGTTACTCCGAAAGTGGGGTTTTTTTGAAAAGTTGTGAGGTTTTTTCGCAGGCTAAATCCTATATGTTTGTCTCTTTTTTTCTCATTATTTAGTATAGCAGCCGTTTCATAGCTTCGTTACATAGCTCCGTTTCTTTACTTTTCAGATCACTCCCATTCTAAAGAAGTTTTCACTTCAAAAAAATTGTTTCGTCCTCAACATAATTATGTTGGTGTATTCATCATTAAAAGATTTAAATAAACTAAAAATCGATGAATAAATTAATTGAACATAAAATGATCATAACTTGTAATTTTTTCATTTAAATAACAAGAAAAGATCAAGTATATTGAAGTATTATATTCATTTTATATAGTTTGTCATGAAATAAGAAAAGAGAGAGGGAAGGGTGGTTAGAATGTCGGATAGTATTCGTAATGTTGAAAGGTGGCAAAAGAAGAAGAAGAACAAGAAGAAGAAGAAGAAAAAGAAGAAGAAGAAGGAACAGAAGACGAGTGACATTCGTCGAGTTATTGTTCAAATGAGCGAGAACGAATTCGTGAGTTCTCCAAGAAGGTCTCCTTCATCGTCTTCGTCGTATTCGTCGTTGTTGTTGTCGTTGTCGTCGTTTCCATTCGGTGTTGGCTCGTCGACATTAAGATAATTATTTTCTAGGAGGATGTGCACGTTCATATTGTCGTCGTTACCGCGACAGAATGGTATTATGTATTGTCGTGAAGAAAATGTGAGAGTAGTAGAGTTGGTAGGCGAGTAAGTACAACAACAACAACACAACAAACAACAACAACAACGGCAAACAACAACAGAAACAACAACAACGTTGAGAGATCTCTACTGTTATACCTTAGCCATCGCGTAGGTGGAACATTATGCTTCGTTGAGCTAAAGAGAAGAAAGAGAAAGAGAGAGTGGGGGTGGGTGGTGGATAAAGAAGAAAAGGGGGTTGGAAAGAGATAGTAAGAGACGTTGGAAGTTAGGTAGAAGGGGAGGAACGTGCTTTCGTAGCATTCATCGAGGGTGCTCAGGAACGATGGTAGAGAACCACGAGACAGACTTGAATCGCAATGTATCTTCCCCACTGTCTTTTTAGCCGGTGTTTCCATTAATGTGATTATTTCTACCGAGTGTTTTCGAAGCCTCGAAATAATTATTTCCTTGGAAAAATCGAAATTTCTTTTCATTCGATACTTATATTTCATCTGTGAGTCCTACTCAACTTTTCTTTTTTATTTTCTTTAATTATTGTTTCAGGAATTCAAATTATTGTAAAGATATTTATATTCATTTGTACAGGGTGTTTTTGTTTAGAAATAATTTTATCAAAATAATTATATTATATAATTATTTTTATATTTTTTTATATTAATTTATAATTTTATAATTAGTTATTGTCACAGAAATTCAAATCATTGTAATAAAGATATTTATATTCATTTGTACAGGGTGTTGCTGTTTAGAAATAATTTTATAATTTTATAATTATAATACAATACTCTATAATATTGTTTATGATATATTTTGTATTAGAGAAAATGAAATTTTTGTTAATACAAATTGAATAAAATTATACTTTATTATATTTCTCGGAATTATTTTTGGTGTTTTTTTTTTTCATGTTGTATTGTCACATTCCTGGAACACACCCTATATATATATATATATATATATTTCTTTCTCTTTCTCTCTCTTTTTCCATTGATTTGATTCAATTCGATTCTTGCGCGGTCGGTGATTAAAGTGCCTCGAAAATGTAAAAAAGCACGACGGATATTATCGAATCGTTCTCGCGTGAAACTCGTTTACGCGCGTATGCGACACGATTTAATTACTTTCCAAGAGAACGAGCCTAGCTTTTAATACAAATGGGATTTTTCTCTGTCGTTAGACAGTCGATTTCATGCCCCCTCGATTTCGTTATTTCTTTTTTTTTTTCTTTCCAAGTGAAATGAGTCGCATGAAAATTTTCTGTCCGTTTAATCGCCGTCTATCACGTTTCTCTTTTATGACTTTTCAATACTATTTTTTTTTTTTTAAATTAATCGTTTTATCAAATCAACAAAAAAATATGTTAAGTCAAATCGTCAAACGTTGATTGTGTTGCCCATATGTGAATCCGAATCCAAATTTTTTTTATTCAAAATACAATCTCTCATTTCAATCTACGAAGATATGAGATTAAAGGAAAATTTATCAAACCGTTTAACCTCGACAATATGTCAACTGAAAATACTTTCATCGAAGAGGATGGATTTGGATTTGTACCAAGGCCAAATGTTAAACAATACGAAAGATCTTACGAAATTGTTCGCAGGTATTTTTATTTTCTATACCATTCATAAAAATATAATATGTTGAATGATTTAGAACAAATTGTTATCAATCTAATCAGATACACCTTGACGAATAAAAATAAAGCAATGGTACAATTAATATCTTGGGGTGCAGGAATACAATCCATCAAAGTACCAAACAAAAATGGTGTCCTATGTGACGTAGTTTTAGGATTTGACGATATAAACGGTAAAAGATCATTTATTCTTGTCTCATTTTAATTCAATATTTATACAATTATCAATATTTTCAATGACAACTTAATCAGGATATTTGGAGAACAGGTTTATGGGAAGTATAATCGGTCGTTTAGTCAATCGAGTTGCCGATGGTAAAATGCGTATCAAGAAAACTATCTATTCTTTGACGATCAATGACGAATGTGGAAAGGATCACGTTAATGGTGGAATTGTTGGGTTTGATAATGTTAATTGGAATTCCTATATATTGAACAAACAAGTGGTAATGTCATGAATTAAATACCTATTAAACCATTTTTATGTTTGTATTCTTTTTTTTTTTTTAAATTCTTTGAATCCTGATAAACAGGTAATGTCTCATGTAAGTCCTGCAGGTAGAGAAGGATATCCTGGTCATATGTTGACTCAAGTCAAATATACTTGGACTGATGATAATCAATTGAATATCAATATTCGTGCAACTGCTACTGAACCAACTCCAGCTAATATCACTAATTATTGTTTTTTCAATTTAGCTGGTCACGTAAGATATAATTAATTAATAAGAAATTATTTTTATAATATATAATCATTTGATTTTGTTAGGGTATGGGTCCGAAAGAATTAAAAAAACACGTTATTACGATAAATGCTGATAGTTGGACATTCATGGACATTAAAAATAATTTGCCGACCGGTGCAATTCGTCCTGTCAAGAATACGGTTTATGATTTACGTTTACCAACACAATTAACCAAAGAAACCCTTTATCGCGTACCAGGAGGTGGTTACAACCATAATCTGTGTATTTGCAGTCCAAGTTCTTGGTGTTATCGATTTCATGCAAGGTAAATTTGAGACGATTTATCACTTCTATTAGGATTAATTATATTTTTTTCTTATCAAGGATTATACATCCTGAATCAGGAAGAACCTTAGAAATTTATTCTAATCATCCTGGATTGCAATTTTACACTGGAAACGATTTACCTGATCCTGATCGTGTTTATCCACCAGATTGGCCAAATTATATTCCAGAATTTTGTGATAAAGTATGACACACAATTATTATAGTTTCATTTGAATTAAATCAAAATTGTACAAATGTTACGTTCGTTTTAGAATCGAACAAATTTGAAAATGTATGGAAAAGAAGGTATTCCTTACCGAAGACACGGTGCATTCGTTTTATCACCACAAAATTATCCTAACGCTATTAATATCAATCATTTTCCTTCTTGTATCCTTTATCCTGGAAAGGTTTACGTCCATGACATGTCCTATAAATTTGGTTTGTTAAACGTAACTTAATTTACAGGTTATTTCTTTATTTTTTGTCGTTTCTTACTGTCATCAAAATTCGTGTCGAAATAAACATTGATTGGCTGTATAAAATGAAATTTGTATTTTTTTTTTATATTATTCACATGGTTAATGTGTTAACTATAGTGCTCTGCACTTTTACGAAATTATTCACTTAAATTCTATTTATAATATTATTCGGTAATATATGTTAGGCACTGTAATTATACATGATTTATCTTATTTCTTCTTTTTTTTTTTTTTCTTTATATATATATATATATAATTATATGCATATAATTTTTAATTTTTTGTTTGTTTGTTAAATCATGTTAAAAGGCACATAGTAAGTTAAATAAGAAATTGACTCATTCGAGAGACTCGACGTTAGAAAATATTGTCTCTTTCATTTTTCTCTTTTACGTATCATCCTAAATTACATCCTACAAATTATGTTAATGCTACAATTTCATAAATTATATTAATATATTTATATATATCTATATTTATAAAGCTAAAATTTGTTTTCTGTGTACAATTATTGTTTTACTTACAATTAGAATAAGATTTCAATATGTTTGTACAACTCTAATCGATTGTTATCACTATCGTTAGAACATTTTTTTTCTTTTTTTTTTTTGCATTATAACGGGCAGTAATAATAATAATAATTATTATTATTATATCGATAAAGATTCGTATAGATAAAGAGATTTCGGTTGGCAGTGACGATGTATGTTTGTGTATGTGTGTATTAACTTTGGTAATAACTATATCATAGAAAACTTTCAAGTTCCTAAATCCCAAATTTTTCTTTTAATTCTTTTTTTATTTCTTTTTGTTTTGTTTTGTTTTGTTTTTGAACACATTGAGAATATGATTAATTAAATCATTGGCAGTGTTAATTAATTAATAATAATTGTATCATTTAAAATGATGATCCAAATTTGTTTTGGATACAACTTATGTGTCCTCCATCGGTGCCCACCGAATAAAATTAGATAATAAAATAATTGTTTGTTTCTTAAATCCTAAAAGAAAACTTTCATAAAATAAAAAAAAATCCAATCAACGTCCCCTATATCTTCGTATTAAATTTTAAAGTATACTGTTTCATTGAGATATTAGGACGTTAATGTTCCCCTATTAGTACATTCAAACGGACAGTAAATAATTTGATCTAATTCATTCCGTGACTATAAGATGAATTCTAAATGTCAATGGTTTCTCCCAAACTTCATTTTCCTCGGTTATACCATTTCTTGGACGACCATGTATGACTATATGAAATTCACCTGGTTTCTTCAAACGACTACGGAAATGAAGTGCCCAAATCCCATAATCTTTAGCAATTTCAAAATTTTCGTGTTTGTTACCATGAACTATCGTATATTCCATCTCTTCGTCCTATAATTTAAACAAAGTATAAACATAATTATTGTCCAGAATATACATTTCCTACTAAAGTAAATTTAAAAGCTTTGAGCTTTAACAAAAACAAAAAAACAACTTATGTTTCAAAAACAAAATTATTTCTGTAATGTAATTGGACACAAGACTTTTCAATTTCACTCAAATATTTTACCTTTATCGCAGGTTGCAATTTGATGATCCTCATTTTATGTTTAGTCTGACGTATACTGATTTTCAAAACGTGCTCTTCACCATGATGATGTCTTCTTGCTTTTCGAGTAACACGACGTTTGATTAATTCGTTTCGTTTTTGTTGCAATTCTTCATCAACCGATCTCAATCTTACACCTCTTCTACGTCTTCCTTTACCGTTAATCTGTAATATTTTATCAATTTTATTGTCTTTTTATTTATGACGATATAAAAACATTAAAAAGAGAAAAATTGTGAAGTTTATACCTTGCAAGAGAAACATCCTTCGGTAGAAATAGTCTTATCATCGGTTGATGGAATGTGATAAGTATCAGGATTAATTACATAAGTTGGAACATTACCAATTTCCTCACCATAATTCGGTTGAGATAAAGGATTAATCGTAGACAAACAATGGCCCTGAATAAAATCGAAAATTATATTATATAGTGTCAAATGAATTGTATTATAATTATAATTTTAAAAAAACATAATATTATTAGTAACAAACTTGTCCAATTCGTTGATAACCAGTTGGACAACCACAAATGAAACCATTAGCACCGTTAGGTGTGCATCCAAAAGCACAAGGAGATCCCAGACAACCAGCGCTAACCTAAAAATACAAAAATATATCAAATACTCAAATAAGAAAAAAGAACATCTTACGATTCCGTACCTGAACGCAAATCTGTAAATTATTATCAAATTGATAACCGTCAGGACAACCACACTTGTAACTTCCTATAGTGTTAATGCAAGTATTTTCACCGCAAGGAGAATTGTTGCATTCGTTTTCATCAATGCATTGACTATAGTAAAGATGTTGAACAAATCCTTCAGGACAACCACAACGATAGCTTCCCATGAAGTTCTATAAATATTTCAGATCGATTATTTCATTGATAAATTTAGACTATGATAAGTACGTTTCACTTACTTGACAACCATGTTCGCAATTACTATCATCGGCACATTCGTTATGATCGGTACAAAATCTTCCAGACTGATCAAGCTTAAATCCTCTGGGACAGATACATCGGAAACTGCCAAGAGTATTGACGCACGTACCCGGTTTCGGACAAGTCCCAGGTTGTTCACACTCGTTAATATCTGCAAATAATTTTTTTTTTATGCATATATATATATATATCAAACATATTAATTCAAATAGAAAAATTGTCTTATTACAAACCATGACAAGCATCCCCATCTTGAGTGTATCCTTCGCGACAACCACAAGTATAACTTCCTTGAGTATTGACACAATTTTGTTGACAAAGATGATTTCCTGTAGCACATTCATCCATGTCACGACAACTGATACCGTCAGGATTTAATATAAAACCGGTCGGACAGGAACATATGAAACTTCCTTCAGTATTTTGGCAAGTGTATTTGCATGGTTTGGGTGTTAATTCGCACTCGTTCACATCTACGATGAAAAATTTTCTTTTCTAATACTTAATTATTTAATAATAAATACAAAATTATTATTTAATATTGTTTTTTTATACCAATACAATGTGCTCCTGATTTATCAGATTTGTATCCCTTGTTGCAAATGCATCTGTAGGAACCCAAAGTGTTAATGCACATTCCGTTTCTACACAAATCCGGTATCGTTTTACATTCGTCAATATCTGTGTAGAAAAAAAAATTAATAAACTATAAGAATATTGTTATTTTATTAAGTAATATTTAAACCAGTTCGAATATTTACCTTGACCATTTATAGAGAAGCCCTTGTCCAAGCATAATTCGTTGTAATCGTCCGAGTCTCTGGAAGGACATATTTCACAATATTGACCCCATGCAGCACCCATAGTGCAACAACAATCAGCTTTAGTCACTGTACGTAATTCTGAGGTTCTTGCTGTACATCTACCACCAATCGTTTGCAAGAAACAATAACCAACTCTACGGTCTGAAACGTAACAATGATTTCCTTCAATAAACAATTACATCATACGATTAAATATAGTTAAGACATACAATTATAAAAAGTCATTGTGAATAATGAAATATTTGTTGCAATTTTTTAATAAAAGCAAAATTATATTTTGTCTTCTCACCAATGCAAGATTTGCCGTCAGCGCTTTGTACAAAACCTTCGGAACAATAACATTGATAACTTCCTTCTAAATTGACGCAATGTCCATGTCTGCATAAACCAGAATTAATGGAACACTCATTAATGTCCTTACATTCGTCAGCCATGCCAATTTGTTGATATCCAGGTGGACAAATGCACATGAACGTTCCAATTAAATTTTTGCATTGATATTTGCAATTGTTTGCTGGTGTTGCACACTCGTCGACATCTGATTGATTCAAAATCATCATGAAGTATCATCAAGATATTTAAGTAGTAATTTATTTATTATTACAACATACCAATACAATGTCTTCCATCAGGAGCCAAAGTATATCCATATGGACATATACATCTGAACGATCCAGGTGCATTGTGACATCTAAAAGCACATTGGTTGCCTAATTCAAGGCACTCATTGATATCCTCGCAAACTTGATTAACACCAGGTGTAAAACCATCGTTACAGGAACATTCGAAACCACCATCTATGTTGTTGCAGGTACCGTTGCCACAAATATTCTGTACGGTTAAACATTCGTTGTTGTCGATGCAACGTCTTCCAGTTTCATCCAAAACGTAACCAGATGGACACTCGCATCGGAATGAACCATCAGTATTTATACAATCGCCACCGGAACAAGCATCAGGCATGAAAAGACATTCGTTCAAATCTATACCCGTATCGTCACGACCTGATCCTTCTGGACATAATCTTCTGAAATCCTCTGAATAAATAAATGTATACGAAATTGTTATTACCATTAAATCTTGATCACTTAGAGGTGTAAGATAATTTATTTGTTACTTAATTATTTACCACTGTTCTCTGATGGACATTGTTCGCAATATTTGCCCCAAGCTTTACCCATGGTACAACAACAATGTTTCTTCGTCATTCCACCTTTCCTAGGAAAAGAACATTGGCCACGTCTATAGCTATCATAACATTGTTCCTCTCTAACATCAATGCATCTCATCGAATTAGGTTTGTCGCTCAATTGATAACCAACTGGACATTCACAGATAACACCACCATCCGTATTAATGCATTGACCATTTTCACAAATACCGATTGTCTCTAAACACTCGTCGATATCTGTAAATAAAATAACAATTAATAATGAAATATCTTTGTTAATAATAATGAACTCACGTACCAACGCATCTTCTTCTTTCATTGTTCAATTCGTAACCAGGTGGACAATTACACATATAAGATCCCATTAAATTTTGACATTTTCCTGGGAACGGACACAAGCCAGGTATCTAAGAACAAAAAATTAAAGAATATTTTTAAATTGATGTTTAATGTTTTAGTTGTAAAATTTTCTTTTTTTTAAATTACCTCGTGGCATTCGTCAATGTCTCGACAATGTTGTCTATCTTGAGCCAATGTGTAACCATCGGCACATTCACAAATAAACGCACCAACAGTATTACGACATCTACCGTTGCGACACAGGAATGGCATTATCCTACATTCATCAATGTCTACAAAATATTTAGTCAAATAATTTACAATAAACCCGTTTGTTAAATAAAACAAATTAAATTGAAAAATATTGTAGCTAATTCGTACCAGCACAATCGTTATTAGGGCTCAATTTGAAACCATCGTAACATTGACATTTGTAAGAACCAAGACTATTGATGCAAGTGCCATTATTACAAATATTTGGATTTCGTTGACATTCATCGATGTCCACGCAATTTTCTCGATCGTGAGTTAAAACAAAACCAGAATGACAAACACATTGGAAACTACCCTGTAGATTGTTGCAAACTCCGTTATTGCATATACCCGATCTTTCGTAACATTCATCGATGTCGACACAATTCCGTTGGGTGATACCTAATTTGTATCCAGCAGGACAAACACACTCGAAATATCCTTGTTGATTGATGCACTGTGCATTACCGCTACAAGGATTTGGTATCTAAATAAATCAAATAATATTTCATGAAAAATTTAACATTAACTAATTAAATCAAAATAATTTTTTAAATAGAATCATGTAAATCTTACTTGCAAACATTCGTTTTCATCGATACACTGATGAGAATCCTGATCATAAACAAATCCTTGTTCGCATTGACACTCAAAACTACCGGGTGTGTTTAAACAACGACCATGAGTGCACATTGTTGGCATAAGTGCGCATTCGTCGATTTCTTCGGTATGATTGGTAATTGGGTTCATATATTGTCCTGGTACCATTCCGCATAAAATTTCATGTTCACCTAAAGAAATTCGTTGCAAAAATAACTGACTAAGATTAAGAAAAATAATAAAAATAATTAATTGATATTTACGAGTCCTTTCGGATGGACATTTTTCACAAGGACTACCCCAGGCTGCTCCCATCGAACAACAACATAACATTTTGGTCTGAGGTTGAGCCATAGGTGTGATGCATTGTCCAGATTCGTATGAAAGATAACAGAATTCTTTCCTCATATCGACGCATTCCTCTGTCATGAGTTTAATATCTTGTTTTAATAATTATTCATTAAAACAAAAGAATATGTTAAAAAAAATATTCCAAATGCTCACTTCCTCCTGGCATGGCCATGTAACCTTCGGGACACTCGCAGTGATATTTACCCTCGTCGTTGATGCAACGACCCACGCTACATATGTACGGATGTAACTCGCACTCGTTAATATCTGAAAAATCATTTTAAAGAGGATCAATCCTTTTAAAGCAAGGAACACACACACAACTCCCATATATGGATATAACGATCGTCCATCGACATTACCGACGCAGCTTGTTTTCGTGTCGTCCAAAACGAAACCCTCGTAGCAGGAGCACATAAAACTGCCAAAGGTATTGGTGCAATGACCATTCTGACATATATTCTCATGTTCCTCGCACTCGTTAATGTCTTCCAATATGACCGTGACACGGTTTGGCCTATAGCCCAAACCACCAGGACAGAGTTCCTCGAATTCTTTGGTGCCTGGTTTGGGGCATTCCTCACAACGATTACCCCAAGCAACACCGACGCTACAACAACACGTTGCTTTCGTTACCGACGTTGACATGTCGAAAACACATTGAGGTCTGCCAGTACCATGCTCGAAACTGGAGAAACAGAGTGACTCGCGCCTATCTGAGAAACGTCATAATGTTCAGTCGTTAGAACGAACATATATTGCATTACTTTTAAGATCAAAGGTGAATATCGATGACACAAACTTACCTACACATGCCTTTCCATCTTCAACCAATTCGTAATGGGGTGGACACTTACAGATATATTTTCCTTGAGTATTTATGCAAGTACCATATTGGCATGACTGCGGACTCTCGCATTCGTCGATGTCCGTGCAATTACCACCAGAACCATCCAGCTTGTAACCCTCGTTACACATGCATCGAAACATACCAAAACTGTTCTCGCAACGACCATAAACGCAAAGATTGTTGAACATGTCGCATTCGTTTATGTCCACGCATGCTTGCTCATTTTTCTCGTCTGGATGCATAAAACCCATTTCGCATTCACAACGGAACGAACCAGGGAAATTCAAACAGTGACCATTCTGACAAAGAGTATTGTCGTTTGCACATTCATCAATGTCTTTGCAAGTATAACCGTCGCCCCTGAAACCAGCATCGCAGACGCACTGCGTCCCATTTTCTTGTTAACTTGTTTCTTTATATAAATATTCAATTAATTAGATATCTTTAAGTATAATTGACTATATTTTATAATCAATTTCATTGTTTTGAGTTAATTTTACCTTAAAGGAGCCATCGCTGTTGATACACTGAGCGTTAGAATCACACCCACCATTATTGGTTTGACATTCATTAATATCCCTACACTCAATACCATTTCCAGTGAAACCTTCGTGACAAGTACATTCGTAAGAGCCTTGAGTATTGTGACATTCGGCAAACTCGCTGCAGGAGTAAGCGTTCAGTAAACACTCGTCGTCGTCTGTACAAGCTGATCCTGCATCCGGTTTAACAGAGTAACCTTCCTCGCAACGACACTCGAAAGATCCTATCGTATTATGACACTCTCCAAAACCACAAATTTCTGGGTGCGTTACGCACTCGTCGACGTCTGAATAAAAAAATTGCTCAATAAGTAAAGTATTCTTTCAATATTATAACAAATAATTTACGATAAAACTTACCGATGCAAGATGCACCATCCCTTCCAGGTAACAATCCTTCCGTACACGTACAAATGTATCCACCAGGTATATTGGAACACTTCCCACCGTTACAGATTCGAGGATTTTCTTTACACTCGTCCACGTCGGAACAAGAACGACTGTCCAAGTTAAGCGCGTAGCCCGTACTGTGTTCAACATTCGTTTTGCAAACATATAATTCAACCTGCTACGAATTACTATCTTAAAATCTATCGGCCAATTGTTAATGTAACTTTTTTAATTACCCGCACGAACAGGAAAAACTACCAGGTGTGTTTATACAAATATCATCGCAGCCACCATTGTTCACCAAACATTCGTCTATATCCTCGCAATGAGATTTGTGTCCAGTTTGTTGATAACCGTCATCGCAAATACATTGATATGTGCCCATCATATTTTCGCAAATCCCATTGGAACATATACCACTTGTCCTAGAACATTCGTCGATATCCTTGCAGGAATCTTTGTCAGAACTCAATTCGTGTCCTGGTGGACACTGACATTTGAATCCACCTTCGGTATTCACACAAGTACCACCTCTGCATAAACCTTGAGTCTCCTCGCATTCGTTAATGTCTAAAATTAATGACACGTGTAAAACCTATGAATTGTATTTTTATCGAAGATCAATGAAAATTATTAAATCCCTTACCCATACAAATTTTCATGATGTCGCTACTACGATAGCCAGGATTGCAATCGCATTGAAAATTACCAGGTGTATTTCGACACGTACCATTACCACATACACCATGCATAATTCCACACTCGTCGATATCTACAAATATATTTCCTCACGATTGTTCTTCTATCAATGTTCTTCATAATCAATAATTTCCAAATTACTTACCGTTACATTTGATGCCATGTTCATCCAAAGCGAATCCTTGATTACACCTGCAACTGTAACTACCGACGGTATTCTTGCATCTACCGTTGACACACATGCCAGGAAATTCGACACACTCGTTGATATCTTGACGTTCGGTAAAACCAAGTCCTCTTGGACATAATTCTGAATGAGCATGAGTTCCTACTTTTGGACAAGCTTCACATTTTTCGTTACCCCAAGCACGACCAACCGAACAACAACAAAGAATCTTGGAGAAGTGTCCTTCTATTGGGGTTGAACACTGACCATGACGATATTCCAAGTAACAAGTTTCTTCTCTGGTGTCGATACAAGTTGTATCTAAATTAAATATATTAATGAATGAAGAAAGATTATTCTTAAAATTGATTTTTCAATTTAAAAAAAGAACAATACTAACGAGTCGGATCAAGAGTCAAACCAGGAGGACACTCGCAGCGATAAGATCCATCAGTGTTAACACATGTACCACCTCCTCTACAGATTCCAACATTTAATTCGCACTCGTTAACATCCACGCATGCTTTACCATCAACTTTAGCGTATCCTTTGGAACATTCGCAAAACGACTGGTCGCAAACTTCACAGGGACTTCCCCAAGCAACACCAACTGAACAACAACACTCTGATCTTAGAGCAAGTCTAGGTAAATTGTTCTCACATCGGCCATCCACCATTTTTGTCCAACATGATCCTTTTCTATTATCTAACGTAATACGATATGACATAATATCAAAGTTATAAATATTAATTGAAAAAATATGAAAAAAATAATCGAGTTATGATGTTAATTTACTTACCCATGCAAATATGTCCAGTATTGTCAAGAATATACCCTGGAGAACATTCGCATTCGTAGGATTCAGGAACGTTCACACAAATTCCATTGAAACAAACATCTGGACCTAATTCTTCGCACTCGTCGATATCCTCGCACATTTGATTTTCCGTGTTCAGTCTCGTGCCAGTTGGACAAATACACTATACAATTGAACAATCAACTAAAGTCTAACACACTATCGATTTATTATTAATTTTATAAATATAAATTTGTATTTACCTGATAACTACCAGGTATATTTCGACATTGTCCACCACTACATAAGGATTCCTCCAATTCGCATTCATTTATATCGCTACAAATCTTTCCCGTTGCATCAACCTCGTAACCATTATTGCAAATACAACGATAAGTACCCATCAGATTTTCACAGCCGCCATTTATACAAATGTTTGGATTTTGGGCACATTCGTTTATGTCTGTTGTTGCATATAGATAGAAGGATCGTAAATATGATTGATTAATATTGTCATCAAAATGAATGCTAATTACCATCTCCGTTATACGTCATTCCAGCACCATGAGGACAAAGGGCATCGAACTCTGTAGTACCAGGCAAAGGACAAGGTTGACAAGTGCTACCCCAACCCATAGGTTGTCCAAGTATTACGGTGCAGCAACAGCAACTTGATTTTGTCACTGCTGTTGAGGTTGGATTAGAACATTGGCCGTCTCTGTATTGCGAGTAACAAAGGTCTCTTCTTGTATCTAAAATGTTAAATATTATTTTTATTCTATTTATCTATTAATTAATTTACATGAATTATTAAAAGAATATTTTAATATAAATTAATTTACCTAAACAAGATCTACCATCGGGTCCCAAATTAAATCCTGCATTACATTCGCAACGAAAACTTCCAGCGGTATTTATGCATCTGCCACTTTGACAGGGTGCACTCAAGCATTCGTTGATGTCTGTTTAATTATAAAAAAAACAAAAAAGATTATTAATAATCAACGAATGTTAGAATGAAATTGAAATCAAACTAGTCCTTTAATACCTAAGCAATGACTTTGATCGGGTGCAATTCGAAAGCCAGAATCGCAAACACATTTGAAGGAACCCTCCATGTTGACGCACTTTCCATTCTCACACATTCCACTCGTGGAACACTCGTCCATATCCACGCAGAAAGTATTATCTCTCGAAGGTGTAAATCCTGATTGACAAAGGCAATGATAAGATCCTGGAGTATTCTCGCAACGTCCGTTTAAACATATCCGTGGGTTTTCACTGCACTCGTTGATATCTGTTAAAAAACGTTTTTGCTATTTATAAAATATTAAAAATATAAAGAACAAATATTATAGAAAAATTTCTCTCACCTATACAGGTATTTTGTGTTGGCGATAAGGTGTATCCATCGTTGCATTTACATTTGAACGAACCATTCATATTGATACAATGACCGTTATTACACATTCCAGTATCTTGACATTCATCGTGATCTATTAATGAATTAAAAATCATTGTTAATTTTTTTTTTTTATGAAATGTTTAAAAAGAAAAATTACTAACCAGTGCAGTATCTTCCTTCTCCTGAAACAGTGAATCCAACTGGACATTGGCAAGTAAAACTTCCCTCGTTATTTCGACAATTACCACCTTGACAATAACCTAATCGACACTCGTCAATGTCTTCACAACGGCCAGCCTTTTTCGTATAGCCAGGATAACATTCGCATTCGTAACCCTTTACAGTATCAACGCATTTGCCATTGCCACATATACCTGGTCTCAAGGCACACTCGTTAATTTGTGTGATTTCTTGCAATTTGGCGCAAAGTTTGTTGTAATCGTCTACAATTGAGTAATAACATTAACTTATAACTACTGTCTATCATTGTAGATAATTTATAAAATAAAAATATTCATTAGATACACACCACTTCCAGGATTAGGACAAATGTAGCATTCATCTCCCCAACCACGACCCATATTTTTGCCACAACAACAATCGTGTTTACTTAGTCTCATAGTTAATCTATTTTTACATTGACGATTCCTATTAACCGCGGTATAGCAAAGCCCTTGTCTTCCGTCTACCATAATAAAATTCATTCATAATTAAAACGTCTATTAACAATGTTGATATCATAAAAACCAAATCAATTACCAATGCAAGATTTACGATCTTGACTCTGTATAAATCCAGGATTACAAAAACAATAATAGCCACCATTGGTGTTCACACATCGACCATCAGGACATATTCCTTCCTGCTGACACTCGTCCCGATCCTTACACTCATTCGTTTCAGGATCTCGAGCTTGTCCTTCGGGACATTCGCAAGTGAACGATCCTTGAGTATTTACGCATTTTCCTCCTTCGCATAAACCCGGGATCGCATCGCATTCGTCGATATCTGAACAAGTAATTAGTATTTAGTATCTCAGATCTTGATAGTAATTAATCTAATGACGCAAGCATCTAAGATCGTACGGGTGAAGAAGATTTATGATAAAGTTATGACATATGATTATCGAAGATTCATTTATAGGCGTGTACCGTTCAGCTTTATTGACGCAACTTTTATTGATAGATCATTATTTTTTTTTTTTTTTTTTTTCCTAACATTTTTCTTTAATCGAGGTCGCATGCAGATCTCACAAGGCATTCATTGTTTTTACAATATATAATTTTTTTTTAACGAGTAAAGACAAATTTGAAAAATAATGCAAATGATTAGATTGAAAAGTTTCTAGCACAAGGTAAACAAAAAATAAAACCCCAGTTTTATTTTTCGATGTAAGCTCTAAACTTCTCAACCCATATATTGGTATATTACGCACCAGTTACCATGACAGTTGAACTAAATGAAAAAAAAAATGAATTTTATGATTTATTGTATATTATAAAATTATCGTACCTACGCATTGACCTTGAGCGGTCTTCAAATATCCCAATTCGCAATCGAGTCTCATGGGACACATTTCGCAAGGATGGCCCCAACCTTTACCAACTGTTGCGCAACACAACTGTCTCGTACAAACAACACCCTGTAGATTCGCCAAGCATTGACCATTTTTAATTTTCATATAACAAGGGCCAGTTCTGTAATCCGTTTCACAACGTCTTCCGGTATATCCGTAAATGCATGCGCAACGATCCGGACCGATACATCTACCCTGATTCAAACAAGGTTCTCGACATATGGCTGAAAATATTTTATTAGCGTAATCGATAACCATTTTAATTTATTATTTTAATCTATTATTATGATTTTCTTAAAAAAAAAATAAAAAAAACAAGAAAATTTATAATAGATACTAACGTTCATTACAAAATTCTCCTTGATATCCATTTCGACATTGACATCTGCCATCAACGCAATTACCGTTGATACAATGAACCCTGCATCTACCTGACTCTCCTCGATCGATTGAACTGCTACTTTCATGAGTCATTACTATCGATATCATAGAAAAAATATTTTATTTCAATATTATTATAATCGTATAGAATTTATGAAAAAAATGTTTAACTGATTAACCCATTCGAGATTCACTTGCACACCGCATGTGAATACTGACCTATTATCAGTTATTTTGAATAAAGTATTCGTCAAGATAAGATTTTTGTTTGTATAAATAATATCTTTAAAGAATAAAAAAATAAAATTTGACATTGTAAAATTGTCAATATAATTAAAAAGAAAAGAAATGGCTCCCGAAAACCGTGTTTGAAAAAAGTTGTGGTCTCGAATGAGTTAAAAGACAAATGAAACTCTTACTTTTGGTTGAAATCGAACCGCAATTTGATGCAACTGTACCACCCTCGCAAAGACAAATATTTGGTTTTATGCATCTTCCTGTACCACATCTCCTCGTGCAAATAGCTAAAAACGAATATCACGTTAACGTGAATCCTTAAATTTCACTAACTTTCAATGAGAATTACATGTAAACGAATACAACTACAATGTGTGACGATGAAAAATGTTATTTTCTACGAGAGTACATTGGAATTTAGTTTTTGATGATTAAATTATAATTGTTCTCAAAGAAATGATACACATAGGTATACTTTAACTTATTAGACAATTTACTTTAATAATTATTAATAAAATTAGGTATAATATATTTTAAAAGATGTTATCCTCGAAAGCCACCATAGCGTGGCGTGTCTTATTGGAAGATGGTATCTGTGAAAACCACTATAGTGATGTGAAGTGTCTAAAAGGTTAATTCTCGTTTCATACTCATATATATATATATCGAAGAAGGTCGATCGAATTATATCCAAAGAAGAGACAATGCGATCAACAGGAAGCCTCGTGTAACAGGCCATTAAACCAGTTTCGTTCGAAGAAACGATCGGTTATGTAGCATAGATACTCATTTATCCGTTACGTAATTGCGCAATTATTATCGTGTAGAGTGAAACAAACTCCTAGGAGTTAGTAATGATAGATGACCGGTTATGCGATCTTAATAATAGTTCCAAGTACTTTAAATCTAGCAAAAGAGCTTATACAAACAACACGCAGAGAAAAATATAATAAATATCGAAATTATACATTCTATACTAATTAGAGATATCCTATCGTTTATTAAAAACCAATTCTATTCGATATAACCTATAAAACTAGTTGACTCAATTAACATTTTCTTCAATATCGTATATTATATTTAAATGCATTATTTATTTAATTAATTCTTTTAAACATTATTTAATCTAATATAAAAAGAAAACAAAAGAAAAACCACTGTATCAATCGTACTTACGAATAACGCAGAGTCCCGTTTCCGGTTTTTTCGTCCATCCTGGACAACAATAATTCTTTAATCTCGATCTGCACACGTTAGGTCTGTAAATGATGTAACATTATAATTAAAATCTATCTGATTAGAATTTTAATGATAGAAGAATTTCATGAAGATGAAATCTTCTCATCCGTACTTATTTGAGTACTCAAGTATTTAAAGTAGATACGCACTTGGGATTCTTTATGACAAGGCGGAAATAAGATTTTTTTTTTCTTTTCGGAAAGAAAGATATAAAGAAAAGTAGAAGAAGAAAAAGATATTATGAAGGGAGAAAGAATGAGAAGAGAGCAGAGTACCACCTCGAAACAAGGCGGGCATTCACATCACGCGGCTCGTAATTAACGTCAGCTGCTATAGAACGCCTCTAAGTAGTTCCACTTATGCGCCTTGGCGCCGCCGATTTTCCCGTCGTTCCCCTAAGTTTCAACGAACCGTGAAACTTTTCATTTTTGTTTGTTTCTATTAATTAATAAAAGGAATCGTCGAAATTGAATATTTGTTTCTTTTACAATCTCTATTTAATTATTTCTTTCATATATTTATATGTAATAACTAGAATTACATTGAAGATGAAAAATTATATTATTAATTGGAATAATTGGATAAAAAGTTATATTATTAATTAGAAAAATCATAATATTATAATAATTGAATTAAAATTATATTATTAATTAGAAAAATTGGATAAAAATTGTATCAAATAATTGGAAAGAAAAATTTGCAATATTTAAATATTTGAAATACCAAGAATAATAATTGTTTTTTTCAAATAATATTTTATAAATTATTAGATTAAAAAATGAAAGATCGATAGATCATATTCCATCATATATAATCGTGTATGAAATCGAACAAAAAAAAAGGATCGTACCATAACTTTCTTTGACGATGAAAACTTTTGATCCGATCTGTATGTAGATGCAAGGATACACGGGAATGGGTTCATTATCAAATTTATATCCTGGTAGGAAAGTATTGATCGACACGTAGCGGAACGTAAACCGCTAGTCAGAACATCATTTTAACACCCAGCCCGTAATAATAGCCTTGGTTTAACGGGCCCAAGGCTAAAATCAATGTTCATCATCTTATATTGGAAGAAACATGATATGAGAAGGGTGATGATGGTTATGGTTGTTTGACGTCTTATTTAAAAAAAAAAACATGAAATATTTCTTAACTTTGAACAATTTAGATCGCGAATCTTCAATAACGATCCATCTCGATACTACTCGTTTATATAAATACCACTTTAATTAATGATCATTCCGTTGTAATATAAGAAACATTTATTTATAACGCGTGGGTGAACACGGTTCAAAGGTTCAATTGAAAAGTGCGTGTAATAGCGTTTAACCGTTCACCGAGTTTAGTACGAGTTTAGTGCATTAACGAGCGATTAGAATTAAAGCGATCAAAATGCGAGTGCATTGCGATTAAAGTTGAGAAATGGCAAGTACCTAAGTGTTGTTACGTCAATTAACGAGCACGTTATATATAGCGTGTGAGAACATGTTAACTATGATAAGAAAAAGAAATAATATCATTTTGATATGAAATGATATTCGTTTAAATGACGAAACATTATGGATCTCGTTGAACCAATCAATCGAATTAATCTTATCAAACTTTGTAGTAAACCTAACCGTTCATTTACTACATGAGTAACAATCGTAGGATGTTCGAAAATAGGATAGGGTCTATTTTACGCCTAATAGGACTACCACTTACATAATTATTCACGGTTAGTCTGCCACTTAGGATTGGTTTAAATTACGTTTTACGTAATAATATATGTGAGAGGAAGTGAAAGAACATACAGTGTGTTAGAGGGAAAAGCGTTTCACGGCATTTACATTTCACACCGATATTATTCTTAACTTAAGATACCAACTGAACATTTTATTTTCTTTGCTTTCTTTATATTCCACAAGATCATCATCATCATCATCATCTTGGAAAACTCGTATTTCGAAGGAATTTACGGATAAATATTTGCAGTAATATCATCTTTTTAGTTTTATATTTTATTTTATCGACGTTTATAAAATTCATGAAATGAAATAAATTATTGTATTTTTTTCTTATTATTACGTTAGTTCAATATTATCTTAGCATACGTGTCTAACGCATACGTGAATAATCATTTGTTACGTGCTTATGAGAAATGATGTCGAAGTTAACGAAGCTGTCGGTACTGGAAAGAAAGATAAAAAGAAAGAAAGAGAGAAAGAGTTAAATTAACTAACGCAAGAAGGTGAAAACATTGGAACGTAGCAAGTAACTTACATATACATTTTTGTTAAGAAATTTGTAATAAAAAAAATGTAGTATTTATTTAAAACAATTTTACACAATATATTAATTTTTAATATAATATATTCCATATATTATTTATATATTATTACATGGATTTATATATTATTATGTGGATGGAATGGAATCATTTATATATTATATTTTTATGTTATTTATATATATATTCCAAATATATAAATTAAAATTATAATTAAAATAAATAATTAAATATATAAATTAATATATTATAATGAAATAAAAAATAAATCAATTTTAAAATGAATGAAAAAATATTGAAAACAAATAATAATAATAATAATAATAATAATAATAATAATAATATTATAAATTAGATCGATAAGTGTTAAATTTAATTTGACTATTTACCCTATCACTTCAATCATTTCTCAGTTTAATCGTGCTCATTAGTAATACTTTATCCGTTTAACCGTATCGTATTACAACTACCACTATCAATGAAAATGTTTTACACAGTTAAGGATCGCGATCAAAAGGGGATAATTAACACGTGTCAACTTCGATTCACATTGCACGACACGTACGAACACGATGAAAAGAGATAAATGTGATAAATAAAAAAACTAAATGAAAAATGTGTTGAGAAAGATCGTTGGATCATTGTAAATGCATACCAGAGTCAGAAAATGATAGATAAACTCGTATCTTTTTGCGCGAAAAAACAAAGTTGTTCAAACATTTAAGATTTATCTAGTGTTTTTTTTTTTTCTTTTTTTTCTTATTTTCAAATAAAACGATATAAATACCAGTTATGCGTGATACAACGATTAGTTTGCTAAGAGATAAGAAAATAAATATTATTTCTATCTGATACGTTTCATCATTTTAATAATGCATGTTAAAATATGTTAATTTAAATCTAACGTGATTCTATAATCGTACGTTTTACTAATAAATAAAATATAATATTTTATATAACGTGTCTTTTTTTCTCTTCTCTTTCTCTCTCTCTCTCTCTCTCTCTCTTCTTGAAAATAAAAATAACAAAATAAATAAATGAAATTAAGGTTATGATTTATATTTTCATTAGTGGTCATCCAATGTAACTCGTAGTACCAAAGTGAAATCAGTGGGATAGATAAACTTGTTGTCTTTTATTAGCATTAGAAGGTATCGAGAATCATTGACGGTTGGTAGTTGTCGTCGTTGTTTATAAGAGGAAGAGGAGGATGTCGTCCGAGTAGAAAGATCTACGTATAGATCGCTATTGGTGCTACCGCGTGCAATGAGCTGCCAAGAATCTTTTACCGTAACAAACTAGTTCTTCTGGTCCCAGTTATACGATATCTTCAGTTAATGCTGAATACTTTTCTCGCGGAGAGTGGCTAACGCCTCGGAGAGTTAGTTGGTTGGTGGCTTTTGTGCGGCGAAGGAAAAAAAAAAATACAGAAAGAAAAAGCTCCAATGAACTGAACACATTTTTCTTCTTTTTTTCTTTTTTTTTTGGAAAACTAAATAACTAGAGTCAATATAATAGCGTATCATTTAATTTTACGTTTGCGAAGAAAAACTATTGCGATTTTTATAATGTTACATTTGTTTTTTTTTTATTAATTATGATTTATAAAATATTCTATAATTTTTAATATTTTTTTTATTGCATACATATTATACTAGGATGCTCGGGTTATTCGTTGTTGTGGGTTTATTATAAAATGGTGATTTATAATATATAATTTTAAACTATTTAGTAAATTATAACAACACACAAAATAATATCACAATTACAATGGAATACATAAAATAATAATGCACTAAAAAATATAAAAAGCAAGCTTAGTTATGTCATATGTAAATCTGAAAAAAAAGGAAAATAATTAAATTGTGATACCGCGCGATCTATTGAAAACTAAAGACCTAGATAACCTTAAAATAATAAATCCTTAAATTAGTAATACAAAATAAAAATAAAAATTATCCTGTATTTTAAGTTTTTACTTAATTTACAATCTTGTTAATTGACAATCTTGACATTCTCCAATTTCGATCTTTTTCACTGTAATATTATATATTCTATTATAATATAAGAATTGATTACTGTCCAAGGTTAATCAAATTATAAATTAAGCTAAAACTAATGCTCTACAATTTAACAATCATCAACAATCTCATAATTTTGTCTAAGGTATCTCTGTATAACATCGTTCTAAATTCCTTTAAACGTTTATTTTCATTAATATGAATAATTGTTTCCGTTTTTTAAAACAACTGTGTCACAATGCACCAATAGTTTCCAGCTAAATCAATTTTAGAGTTTGTCCCTTTGTCGAATTACCGATCGTATTTAAGATCTCATTGTTCTCGATTGAGTTAAAAAAAAATGAGTTTAAGCGTGGGAGGACAATGGAAGAAGAATGCGAGTGCATTATCGGTCTCTCTCTCTCTCTCTCTCTCTCTCTTTCTCATCACTTTTGGTGCAAAAAAGTGGATTGTAGTAGAACTAGTTGAATTCAACGAGAAACGTTGTAACGTAACACTGCGATAACCTAATTAAAAGTTATCAGAATGTTTGGAACGCGCGATTCACTAAGGAATCATAAAAGACACGGTCAAAGAAACAACGAATGGCGAATCGGCTTCCGAATTCTTCGGAAGTGATAAAAGTGATAAAAATAATATCTAAAAAAAGAATATAATAAAAAGTAATGAACGTGATTTTCCGGAAATATGATTTTACGGTTCGATGACCGAAATGTTATTTTATTTAATCAGCGATATTTCTTTAATCCTCACATTATTATTTTAATAAAAAAAAATAAATAAAAAACACGTGTTAAACATACCATATAAGACAATTGACGTAACAACGTGAGATCGTTACGTCATTCTACCATTCTTTTTTTATCAAAACAATTTCATTTACCCTCCAGATCTGAAATAGCCAAAAATACAAAAGCTAAAAAAAAAAAATAAAAAGGATGGGGGCTTTTTTACCACGATCTGTTTTAGTAATTAAACGCCTCGCGTAATAGTCATCAAGAAGAATCCTCGTGGGTTTAAAGTATGATGAATCACACGTCTTATCTTAAAATTCTCTCAACGCCTGCCTGCTTGCTTGCCTGCCTGCCTTCCCCTTTCGAAGTTTTTATTATAAATAGAGGAAAAAAAAAGAAAAAGAAAAAGAAACATTTCGCGGCTTACGGATACGGTCTTTTACGATTACTTGTATATTTTTGTCTTGTTTCCAAAAATAATATCTTTTTTTTTTCTAAATTGATATCTTACATATAAATCATTCAAAATGAAAGAAGATTCTCTGATAAATTATAATATTATATAATATATTAATATATTAATCTTTATATTATATAAAAAATCAGTGTCATATTGTTGATTTGATTTGAAATTTTTTGTTATTTTGTATGATTTTTTTTTCAACTTAGAATATAGGATAGTTTTTAGTATTTTTTTTATTGTTAATTTAAGGATTTATTTTATTTAAAGGTTATCTAAGTCTTTAGGTACTGTAAATTTTTAATAGATGGCACTCTATTACAATTTAATTATTTCGCATTTTTTTCAGATTTGCATACAACATAACTAAGCTTGCTTTTTAATTTTTTTTGTATTAATTATTTAGGTGTTGTTATAATTTATTAAATAGTTTAGAATTATATTAAATCAACATTTTATAACAAAGTCACAACAAAGATTGTACCGAAGCATCCTAGTTATTATAATAAATTATAATAGTAGGTTATATAGTAGTTATAGTAACTAGTAATAGTTGCTATATATTAATTATTATAATATAATATATTATATTAATATAAAATTATATCTGGTATATAACATAAATCTCGATGAAAACCTTATTTTCAAACATTTCGATTTGATAATTATGGCAAATCATAATTCATAGATTAGAACGTTATAACAACGATGACAAATGACAAATAACAAATGAACAAAAGACAAAGATGATACTTACCCAATTGGTGGTACATTTTGCAAAGTATTATCCAATTCCTGCGTAGAACTTGGCGTGTTATAACGTTGTCCCGTCGCATTACATTCTTCGATGACTCGACTCGTAAGAAGAAGAAGGATCGATGGTACGAACAACAACCATAAGGAGAATCCATTCCTTTGACAGGTCCTTTCACGTCTCGGTAACATTGTTCGCAAATTCTTCATCTTCTATCGATTTTTTTTCACCTTCCTTCCTCCCTTCCTTCCTCCCTTCCTTCCTCCCTTCCTTTCGTCCTTCCTCCTATATATATTTTTATTCCTTTTCCTATATTTTGTTCTCTTCACTTTCTTCCTTCTCTTTCAATCTTCAAAGAAAAAGAAAAAGATGTCCGATTCGTGAGTTAAGCTTTCGATAGATCATAAAAGAGGATAAGTTTATTAACACGCATGTTCGATGTCCTTTTCAAAGATCAAACGTCGTTGATAGTCCTTGGACAGGCAGGCATGCAGGCAGACAGGCAGTCAAGCAGTCAGGCAGGCGTGTGTAGAGTATTATTAAAATGATTATCATCGTCCTCTTCTTTGGCACTTAATCACGTACAATCCCATCATCGTTAATGTCCTTTTATTCAAAAGGATATCAACTTGAATAACACACACATACACATATACACAGACAGGTGTTCAAAGCTGAATCACTCTAAGAGAAATTGTATGGGACAAAACACCTTACCAACCACTCTCCGTTGTTTTAAACTTTATCGTTTCATGCGATGCAAATTTTCAAGCGTTTTGCTTACGATGAATCTGTGAAATACTGTGAAAGAGTAAGAAAGAGAGGGAGATAACAAAATGAAAATAAAAAAAAAATAAAAAGAGAAAGAGATATGAGACGAGGACGTTCCGGAAGCACCAAATTAGTACGATGAGATAGTCCGGAAATTATCTTCTGATATTAATATCCAACACTCTATGCTAACGTTGCCATCCTTTTGTCACAAAACACAAAACAGATGGAGGAACTTATGCGAAATTCATTTTAATCGTCTATCTATCCTTTCCTTTTTCTATTTTTTTCTTTTTTTTGTTTTTTTCGTTAAATATTATTTTATTAACTTTCGAATATTTGTTTTGTTTCTAAGCAAAAACACAAATTGGATGAAGTTTTTTTTTTTTTTTTTTTTTTAATACGAGATATTTTAAACGACGAATAAGATTTTCTTTTTCGCAAATTCACGAACGTGACTTTCTCTCGTTATCATAACGTAAAAGCAAGACTGGTCACTGTACACTATTATTAAAGTATCATAAAACATGTACGTAATATGTATGAGTTAAAAAAACATTTAAAAAAAAAAAAGAAGATAAAAAAATGAGAAGAGATCGATTTGTGACAAATTTCTTCCGTTCAACGCGAGAATTCCAAACACGCGAGGGAATCTTTGAGTTCCTTAATGAAAAATGAGTTTTAAGATAAGCGAGTAGGTGTTGGGAGATTATTAATCGTAGAATAATAAAAGAAAGAGTAAGAGAGAAAAGGGAGAAGGAAAAAAAAATGATCGATAACTTCCGCTCTAAGAAACGAGCGATACGAATAATGAGCATCGTGTGAGTGCTCTGCCTTTTGGAACCACAAAAAAGACCAAAAAAAAAAACAAAAAATAGAAAAACAAATATATGTTATATTCAAACTACACTTTATACATGGCCCTTTTTTTCCTTTTAAAGGACTTATTTATCTCGTGTCATTGTCTTGTCATTATACCTTGATACGATAGATCACCGAATAATTTCACTAAATCACAAACATTGTCTTCCAATTTCCACTGTAAAATTCAAATTTCGTTTCACCATTAAATTTGCCAATCTTTTCTAATATCAATCATGATTTTTTGTATTTAATAATAATTAATAACGATAATAGTAATAACAAATAAAGAAATAAATGTCAATTTAAAAAAAAAAAAAAAAAATTATATAAATTTAACTAAACTAAATTATTTTTAAAGAAGTTTAGTGGTGTAACCAAAACTAAAAAATAAAAAAAAAACAAATTTCAAACTAGAATCAATGGTGGATAAAAATAAATGTAGAAAATTAATTCAATTTAAAATATAACTATAAACTAAATTTGTTTAAAAAGAAAATTTAGTGGTGTAATCAAAACTAAAAATAAAAAAAAATAAAAAGAAATCAATTTCAGACTAGAATCGATCGGTGAATAAAAATAAATTTATGAAAATTAAACGCGATTTGAATATTTTGAAAAAAACGCGCGTGTTTTTCTTCTCTCTCTTTCTCTCTCTCTCTTTCTGTCTCTCTCTCTCTCTCTCTTTCTCACACTCTTTCTTTCTCAATGTAAATCGCGCGTGTTAAAAGAAAGTAGATGAATAAACGAGATAATAAATCGAAGAGAAAACGGAAGATGACGAAAAGAGATGCGCCTACGGGACTTGGCGCAAGACTGGAGCAGCAAATCGCCGTAGACAAGATACTCCGAGAGAGGGCTCATCCGGAGAGTGAAGTCTCTCCAGCATCTTTCCCTCTCTTTCTCTCTCTCTCTCTCTCTCTCTCTCTCTCCTTCTTTTACCCTCTCCCACCCTTTTTCATCTTTCTTACTCACACTTTATCGCACTTACGCGTAAACTTCTTCTTTCCTTTTCTATCTTATTTTCTTTCTCACTCTCTTTCTCTCTCTCTCATTCACTCTCTTTCTTTCTCTTTCTTCTACTCTTCCTATCTTTCTCTTTCATTTTCCCCCATCTTCGAACGAAGACGATGTTCTAAACCCTTTTTCTACCATCTTCTTGTCAACGCTCAAACATGCATGTATGAACATCTTTCTATCTTTTTCTTTCTTTCTTTTTTTGTCTATCTCTCTTTCTCTTTCGATATTTCTATGATTCTATTTCTTTCCTTATTCAAGAACAATTTAAACGCGATTTCAATACAATTATGAATGGGGGCACGCGTACGTGTTTGCACGATAATTAAAAAAAATCCAAAAAAATATATATATACTTATATAAATAATATTATATATATAATATATATAATAAAATAAAAATATAAAAAATAATATCATATACTACATAATATATAATATACCACACACATATATAACATAATAACATAAAAATATAATACAAAATATAATATACACACATACTATATAATATATAATATATTATATACTATATATAAAATAAAATAGAATAAAATAGAAATATAAAAAAAATTAAAATATAAAAAAAAAATATATATATATATATATATATATATATATATATATATATATATATATAAATATAAATATAAATATACTTTATACGAGTCATCAATCTCAACTAATTAATTAATTAAAAGACAACAAATATACAAGATGCATTCATTCCCTTTAAACTATTTTTACTATTTCATTTGTAATGTAGGACAACTGTATAACTCTTCTAAAAATGTTCTTATCTTGTCACATAGTTGTCTTAAGAATTAAAAAAAATTTTCTTTTTTTTTTTTTTTTAATATTATATATATTATATATTCGCAATTATATATTACAGAAACTAATCTTGTTAACGCGAAAAACAAACGTCTGTTTGATAAATAAACAATTAGACACAAGCATTAGGTTCGTTGTTCGTTCTGGTAACACTAATACAATAATAATCATTCGGCGTTATCGTGAAAGTAATATTTTACGCGATAAGTAGTTAACAGTTTTATTGTTGAGAGATCTCGTTCTACATTAGAATATTATAATAACAATTATGTTAATTTAGGTATGCGAAAAGTAGGTCGTAAGAATATACATTTCGCAATGTAATTTTATCAAAATGACGAGAGCACATTGATTAAGAAATAACTTAATGACATTGACCTTTTGTTTTGGACCAATTAATTCGTTTTCTAAACATAATTATAAATTGTATTTAATATTTTCTACAAATCAAGATTTTTCTAATTCAATGATTTTCTAAATTTCAAAACTATTTTTATAATATTAATTCATTCACAAATGATATATATAGAAAATAATAAGAAAAATCTTACGATAAATCAAACGAAATGATTTTTGCATCAAATGAATAATACTATTCATTATGTAAGTACTTAGATCGTAAAAAATGAAAAAAAAATAATAAAAAAAAAATAGAAAAATCTATCGTTTGATTTTAAAATGAATCTCAACAAAGAGAGAAAATAATGTTCGATGCGGGTAAGAATATATCGTCGAGGTGACGAATCGAATCCGCGTATGGTGTGAATGCGTGAGAAAGAAGAAAGAAAGGAAGGATGATGATGATGATGATCATGATGATGATCATGATGATGCTATACTATGCTTGTTAATTAGGGCATATAAAGGCGTATGTTGTGTGGCGTATCTATAATAGAACGGAACCGCCTTTGATACGATACGATACGATACGATATCGTAGGAGAGATGTCAAATAGATAAAAGGAACGATGTTGTTCATTCGTTGTAATTACCACTTTATTGTCTCTCTCTCTTATATCACAAATAAAGCTACCTTTATCTCTTTACCTATCTGTTAACTTGTTTCGAACCAAACTAAACGATCATTTCCATTTTCCTATGTTGTTGTATTTGTCTTTTGCAAAGAAGAAATTGCCGATTGAGAATCCTTTGCTTAGTATTATTATTATTATTATTAGTAATAGTAGTAGTAGTAGTAGTAGTAGTAGTAGTAGTAGTAGTAGTCAATTCGTTAGGTTCGTTAGGTGAATTCCTTCTGTTAAACGAGCCATGCAAAATGAACGTGTGCTTCTGTTGTATAGATGCACACATAGGTTAACTTCTTCTCAGTGAATTCTTCTTTCAAACCTAACCAATGCTTCCTCCTTCGAGAAAGGACGACGAGGAAGACGACGACACGAGTAACAAACTCCTGGGGGGTCCGAGAACGGGTGTCGGATGGCGGCAGAGATAATGTTTCACGATGAAAGACACGAGAAGATACGATCGAGTAGAGAAGGTCGAGTTGTTTGAACCGTTCCTAAAGAGAAAATAATCCTCCCTAAAATCTCAACTTCAAAACTAATTTTCTTCTCAGAAAGGATTTTATCTTAATAATTCGTTTTTTTCTTCTCTTGTTTTTTTTTTTTTACTATTATTATATTTCTATTTATTTCATACTAAAATAGAAAACGTTTCGTCAATTAAGATTATCTACTAACTTAAAAAATAAAAATAAATCATTAAGATTTATTTTAT